TCGCCGGGCGGCGGGCAGCGGCGGCGGCAGCAGTGAGTTCCTTGGAGAGAAGATGGGAACGAGTGGGATTTCAGATGAGATCCCCGAGACCTCTCTCTCCATCGCGCCACGGTGGGTACTGGCCTGGAGGCGGGTGGGGGAGGGCCTCTGGCGTCCTCTGCATGTTTGCTTGGCTGTGGGGTTGCTTGGCGTTGGCTCCTTCTCCTCCCTCCCCGCCGGCAACGGCTTCCCGTGCGGTATTCCTGGAGGGTGCTGGAAAGGAGGGGTCCTGAAAGCCATTCTTCCATCTCCAACGGGGCACATTAAATGGGAAATATGCATAGGAAAGGTTTCTCAAAGGCTTCCTGGGAGGAATCTTTCAGGTTTGGAAAACAATTTTTGGTTTCCCGAGGTTAGGTGTAGTTGTTTGAAGGAGGTTTATTTGTTTTGGAAATATATGAGAAGTGGAAATAAAGGTGAACTGAAACATAAAAGTTCTGCTGTGTTGTTGTTTTAATGTTATTGCTGGAATTCTAGGAGGTAAATTTATAAATGCAGCTTTCTTTACCATGTGGCGTTGCTAAAGAAGATGCTGAGATTACTGCCTTGTTTTCCTAATTAATGAGGATGAGATGGCCATGGATTAAAACTGAGGTTTATTTACATCTGGATGAGCCCAGAAATCTGCTGTAGCCAATGAAGTGTTTTGATTCATTTGTATGAGGAGTAGACTTAAGAACCTGACTTAAAAAATAAATTATTGTTAGACAAAATGGGAATTCAGAACATCGGACTGTATTTTCCTTTGGGCAATATCGAGGTAATTAAATGAACAGAATAATTGTTTAAGATCTATTTACCTAAATATTATTTAATAATATTGTATATGTTTTTTTAAAACATTGTTAGCTGGGAAGTTTGTTCTTCATTCTTTTCATGTTGCCAGCTGATAGCGTCACCTGGTCCAGTAGTTTATACTTGCATAGATTTGGTTATATCCGCTATGTATAAAACATTAATTAAAAATTCTAAGCAATATAAATTCTGTAATGGTTACCGAGGTACTACGATAAACATGGATGCCAGTAATTCAAGCCAGCATTCTTATACTCGGATACACACATTTTCATTCGAAAATTAATGTAGAGTTCTTAAAGAATTACTGTTAATACACCTAATATCGCGTAACAACTCCCAGGTTACAAATAAAGAAACACTTTTTTTTGTTTCAGTAAAGATTCCACATATTTATGGGAGAAAATGTAATCCATCAATTGATATTCTTAGTTAACAGTTTCCATGGAGCATTTAAAAGCCCTGCTCTTCATTCAAGCCTGTTTTGAAATGTTGAAGAGGTATTTAATTCATGAACTCTTCTATTGCTCTTTATGAAATTTTTATGCTGCTCTAGACATAGAATTATAGGCTCCTCCTTCTCTGAGAGACAGCCAATCGTCATTTCAACAAGTTAAAAAAAGTGATCCCTTTTTAGCCAGTGTTTCCCCGTATCTCACATTATTTCTTCCTTAGAAATACCTTGACTTTTTTTTTAATAGCCGGAGTACAATCACCAGAGAATCAGAAATGATACTTTCTTTTCCTTCAAAGGCATATATGGGTTGAATAAAATGCTGTATTTGAATGGTATTTTCAACTAGACTGGGAATCATTCTAGCTACTTGAAGCTGGCTTGCTGTCAGCGAGAGAGATCTGCACCTGAGGTTGCTGTTGATAATTAGACATCATTACTACTGAGAAAAGGGAAAGAGAGAAGGGGAGAGGACAGGCTGTGGCTAATTAACTACTTGTGTTTAATGAAGGAAAGGGAGATGGCTAGCAACTGGGAGGTTGGTTGTACGAGGAGAGAGTAGACACACCATACACAGCTAATTGAAACACTATCTTTCCATCTGAAAGCAGCTCGGTTCTACCTCTTATTTTCCCCAAAGAATATAGATGTAGCTTTGAGAATATGCTTTCTCCTAAAGCCTACATTTAACCGATGATAAAATCAAGCGTCAACTGGCTTAAAATAAAAGATATGTAGAATACTGGAGAAGATGAAAATGCCCTTCCATATTTGTCCTGGCCGTGCCTAAAGCTGAGAGGACATATCTCTCACTGTTTAGATTACTTAGTGGCTGAGGAGATACTGATTGGTCACCAAGCAACAGCATCCTGCAACTCAGCCATTTTAGGCCTAGGTGGGTCCTGTTTGCATGTGCACGCAGCGCACACGTGTATACACACATACACATACACACACACGCAGCTTGTAGAGCATGGCATCTAGGTTTTTTCCATACTGCCTCTTTTATTTTTACATGATCTTTCACTAAAGGTGTCAGAAATTTAGAAGAATGGCATGATGAATAACTCATAATAGTTCTGTAAAAGATATAGCAAGTTTCTGACACTGGTTACAAAAAATGTTTAATCAGTGATCATTTTAAATTAGCATTACTATGGTTACTCTAGTTTACAAATTTGAGAGTTCTAGTTTAGTTTGTTTTTAGCAGCTTTTCATCTTGATTGACTTTTTTTTTTCTGGCAGCAATTAGTTGAAGCAGCACACATACAATTTGAACTACCAAAACACATTATACCACTTGATATTATGAAAAGTAAATTTGGAAAATAACCAGAAAATTCATTAAGGCTTTCCATTAGTCATGAGACTCATGCATTATTGTGTATTTGTAAAAAGCCCACTACACTGTATAGACAGTAGGAAATTTGGTGAACTCACATTTTTATTTGTTTTTCCATCTTACTCAAATAGAGGCCGATGAATATCCAAACTGTAAAATCAAATAATGTGAGTGATGCTTTCGTGACCTGTATGTGTAGGGACAGACCCTTACATCTAATTTTTGCCTTTTATGTATTTTTACCTTTGATGAATATCCAAACTGTAAAATCAAATAACGTGAGTGATGCTTTCGTGACCTGTATGTGTAGACAGACACTTACATCTAATTTTTGCCTTTTATGTATTTTTACCTTCTATTTATTCCACTGGGGAACATGAAATGACTTTTTTATCCAGAAAGGAAAATGCATTATCTGTAGTATGCCATTTAAAAATGCTGATGTATTCAGTTCTGCAATCATGTAGCCTCAGATTTCACATTGTTCTTGCTGTGCATGCTACTAATTGTTGCTGTACAGTGATTAGAATAAATATTCATGGACTGGTTCATGCACAGTTACTGGTTTTTTGTTTGTGTAGTTTTCTCTGGTTTTGGTTATAAATTCTTGAGGCTACATCAGATTGAAGGAAATAATGCCTCCTACAGAGTCTGTATACATTCCACCTGGCCTAACATCATGCCTGAGGCATACATCACATATATTAGGTCTTGATCTGGATGCTACAGAACTTTCAGAAAACATAGCTGAGGAGCAGCACCAGCTATATATTAGGAGACGCTATATCTATGACAGAGACAAATCGTAATTGTAGTCACTGAGACATAAGGGAAATTTTGCTTATCCCCTGATATGTTCACAGTGGGCATTGCTATTGGTAACTGATGCATTTTTCTCTTCATTTGAAGTGTTTTGAGACACTCCCTATATAGACTAGGTCTTTGGAGTCAAAAGATACCAAGTATGTTTCTCAGCAATGTAGGTTATTAGTTGACTTTAGTGGCCCCTTATGAGTTGCACTGAGGAAAAAATTGTGAGTGGCAAGTCCCTAGCACAGTGCCTATGTAAGGCTCTCAGGGAATAGTGGGTACCTTTACTAGAGACCAGTCTGGCATGAGAATTAGGGGTCCAAAGACTGCAGATATAACTTACCTGAATATGAGGAGGAAATCAGATCCTATTAATCTATCCTATATAATAAAAGGCTAATATGCAAATCGACCAAATGGCAGAACAACTGGTCACTATGATGTGCACTGATCACCAGGGGGCAGACGTTCAATGCAGGTGCTGCCCCCTGGTGGTCAGTGCGCTCCCACAGGGGTTCACCGCTCAGCCAGAAGCTGGGCTCACTGCTGACAAGCACAGCGGGGTGGCAGGAGCCTCTCCCGCCTCCATGGCAGCGCTAAGGATGTCCAACTGATGGCTTAGGCCCTGTCCCCCTGGGGAGCGGGCCTAAGCCGTCAGTCGGACATCCCCTGAGGGCTCCTGGACTGCAAGAGGGCGCAGGCCAGGCTGAGGGACCCCCCCCCGCCAGGCCAAGGGGCCCCATTGGTACACTAATTCGTGCACTGGGCCTCTAGTTATAGATATAAAAGCCTAAGCGACATTTATGACCAGTCAACCGAACGACCAGTCGACCGGTCACTATGATCCGCACTGACCACCACAGGGCAGATGCTCAACACAGGAGCTGCCCCTTAGTGGTCAGTTGCACTCCCAAGCCAACCTCCCATGGCCGGCCAACCTCCCATGGTCTCTCCCCCCAGCTGGCTGGACCAAACATCGGTCCCGATTGGGGGGGGCGCAGCCAGTCAACCTCCCGTGGCCCCTCCCCCTAGTCAGTTGGCCTCCCAATTGGCCCTGATCGCCAGCCAGGCTGAGGGATCTCACCCGTGCACAAATTCATGCACCAGGCCTCTAGTATATGAAGACTACCTCACACAAATTTTCTATGATATGAATTCTTTTTTTAAAATATATTTTTATTGATTTGAGAGAGAAAAGGAGAGGGAGAGAGAGAAACATCAATGATGAGAGAGAATCATTGGCTGCCTCCTGCATGGCCCCTACTGGGGATTGAGCCCCCAACCTG